TTGATAGCTCACGACCCGAAAACTGCAAACCACAAGTTATTTATGTCACGGTATCCAAATAATCCTGGCTCGACATCCACAGTTGCTGACAATAATCAATCAGTTGTCACACCAGATATAATTCAACAGATGATTCTCTGTGTCTTTTCTGCTCTCAGCCGTCAAGGAAAAGGTAAAACTATTACTTTCATTCCTTCTCTTTGGTTTGTTGATTCAGACACTACAAATTATATGACTGACACAGCTGATTTATTGCATAACCAACGACCGTACACTGGTGTTCAACATATTCAGGTTGCTGATGGAAATAATATTCCAATTACGACAATTGGTGATAATAACTCCTTCAGACATGTCTTGGTTTCTCCTAAATTATCTACTAACTTACTTTCTGTTTGTCAAATTGTGGTTAATAACTGTGACTTACATTTTTCTCGTAATGGTTGAATTGTGCAGGATCAGGTGTCGGGGAAGGTGATAACGAAGGGGCCTAAAGTGGGCAGGCTATTTCCATTACAATTTATTATTCCTCAAAATACGTCATTAGCTTCTTCAGTTGTTGAGAATAAGACATGCATCTGGCATAAAAGACTAGGTCATCCAGATGATATGGTGTTGAAACATTTATTTAAAAGTGATGTTTTTCATTCTACAGATAAGAGTTTAGTATTTGACTGTTCTTTTGTAAACTTGAAAAAAGTAAGACATTACATTTTCCTATTTCAGACAGTCGTGCCAATAAATGTTTTGACATTATTCATAGTGATGTTTGGGGAATTACATCAGTTACTTCACATTTCAATATAGATTTTTTGTGACATTTATTGATGATTATAATCGATTTACTTGGATCTATTTTTTGCGTTCCAAAATAGAAGTATTTACTGTATTTCAAATATTTTTAGCATATATTGAAACTCAGTTCTCCACTTGCATAAAAACCTTACAGTCTGACAATGACGATGAATACATGTCACATGAGTTTCAAGTATTTCTCCATAACAAATGTATTGTTTCACAACATTCATGTCCCTATACACCGCAACAAAATGGAGTTGCCAAACAGAAAAATCGACATCTATTGGATATTGTGCGCAAATTACTGATAGAATATTTTGTTCTAGCTAAATTTTGGACTGAAGATTTATCTACGGCAGTTTATCTCATTAATCGTTTAACATCTCAACAATTGAAGTATGATTCTCCCTACTATCGATTTTTTGGTAAACATTCTAATTATCATATGTTACATATTTTCAGATGTGTTTGTTTTGTTCATCTACCTGCTCATAAACGTCATAAATTGGCAGCTCAATCGTACGATGTGCCTTTATGGGGTACAGTTCTAATCATAACGATTTTGTGTTATGATTCGATTAATAGTCACTGTCATATTTCTCGGAATGTGATTTTCTTCGAACAAGAATATTACTTTCAGCATCATGTATCGACACTAGATACAGTTATATTTTCACAATTTGATAATTCTTCTGCTGATAAATGATTCAAGCCGAACATTGTCTACACAAATTTGATAATTCTTCTGCTGATAAACGATTCAAGCCGAACATTGTCTACACACGATGCTTGCCCCCTTCACCTTCAATCATCCCTAACCTTGATCCAGAAATTGCTCTAATAAGTCTTCGATGATCAACTCGGCATATCCGTCCTCGAGATAGATATGAGTATTATGTAATTTTAACTAATATTATTGTTCCTACTCTTAATTTCAAGTTGTTAAACAGACTTGTTGGGTTAAAGCCATGCAAGAGGAACTTCAGACTTCAAGACAATCACACTTGGGATATTGTTTCATGTCCTATAGATGTAAATCTCTTTGGATGTAAATGGGTTTATTCTCTTAAACTCCGATCTGATGGCTCTCTTGACAGATATAAGGCAAGATTGAAGATTGGTAGCTCTTGGCAATCGCTCTTGGCAATCGACAGTAATACAAGATTGATTATGAAGAAACATTTACACCTGTGGCTAAGATGACAACTGTCTGACTGGAGTTATCTATTGCTCTAAAGGCTGGTTCTTAAAACAGATGGATGTTAAGAATGAATTCTTACATGGGGATCTCAAAGTAGATGTCTATATAAATCCTCCTCCAGGCTTGTTTTCTACATCTTCACATGATGTTTGTAAGCTCATACAATCCCTATACGGTTTGAAATAGACTCCACGGGCCTGGTTTGAAAGCTTCGCAATACCCTTCTAAGTTTTTTTTATTCAAAGTCAGTATGATTCATCATTATTTTTTTGCAAAACTGACAAGGGAATTGTTTTGTTATTAGTATATGTTGATGATATTGTTATCACATGATCTGACAATCAATTGATGTCTCAGCTACAAAAACGTCTTTAGGGTTCTTTTCATATAAAAAATTTTGGATCATTAACTTATTTCTTAGGACTTGAGGTTCACTCTTCTCCCGCTAGTATTTTTCTTCATCAACACAACTATACAAAGGGAGTCATTGCTTTGGCTAGTCTTCAAGATGATCACTCTGCTGATACTCATTAGGAAGTAAATGTTAAATATCAATAAAATGATGATGACTTTCTATCTGAACCATCTCTATATCGACAACTTGTTGGGAGTCTCAATTATCTGACTATTACGCGTCCTCATATTTCATTGATGTGCAACAAGTAAGTTAATTTATGCAAACTCCTACACATATTCATTTAGCTGCAGTTCGATGTATTGTTTGATATTTGAAAGGTGTTTCACATCGTAGTTTGTTCTTTTTTGCGGAGTCTCCTATCACCTTAACAGTCTATAATGATGTTGATTGGGCGGGTTGTTCTGATACAAACCAATCTATTATTGAATGATGCATGTTTCTTGACAACTCGTTAATCTCTTGGAAGAGCAAGAAACAAGATCGAGTGTCTAAGTCATCTACTGAATCAGAATATCGCGCAATGTCATGTGATTGTTCTGAGATCATTTGGCTTCGAGGTGTGCTGGCTGAGCTTGGTTTTCCTCAGCTTGGGTCTACTTCTCTTCATGCAAATAATACTAGCGCTAGCCAGATTGCTGCTAATCTCGTCTTTCATGAGCGCACGAAACACATTGAAGTGGACCGTCATTCCATTCGAGAAACCTATGAGGATGATATTATATCTCTTCCTCATATCACTTCTTATCTTCAAACGACTGATATATTTACTAAGACTCTTTCTCGACAATATCATCTTCTTGTCTCAAATGGATGTTTTTTGATAAGCCAACATCAATTTGAGGGGTGATATCAATCAGGAGTAAATGAAATCAGGCAGAACAAAGAGTTTTTTTCTTCGCAATGCTGCGAAGAAGAAAATATTATCTTTGCATGGATTCTTTTATTTCAGCTGAATATTTAGATTATGAATATGTATTAATTAAGTTACCTAAAATACATTATACAGAATATTATGTACCTAAAATAGATTGTAAAGACTATTTATTGGAATGAAAGCAAGCAAAGAAAAAGGCATTCAACCTATTTGCTCAAAATATTGACACCATAATCACTATCTAAGCCTATTTGGAAACTCTTAAAGTATTACTAAAAAATTTTGTAGAATTGTTCCAGCTAGAAAATAAGCAAGGGAATTTAATTTTACCGCGTAACTCATCTTACACTAACCATCATACATAGAAAAGCAGCAATATTCGTATAATGGATATTAACTTAACTCTATAGCAACAAATTTTACATTTAATATTATTACCATTTATACTCTATATTCTTCACAGAAACTACCCTTTTTGGATATAGATAGGAATGAGATAAGAGTTAGAAGCATCACAATCATTATTGTCAAAGTGATGGTAATAAATGTCCATTGTGCTCGTTATTATTAGAAGGTAGAAAATAGAGCTGATTAGGCTTATGAAGAATCTTGTCAGTCCCTGAAATATATATAATATTTTCCTTAAATATGTCCCCTTTTTTGGTTTGGGAGATTGTTCTGAGGAGAGAGGAGGCAGCAATAAGAAGGATGGTTTGTTTTGTTTTACCTGGAAATCTTAAGAATCGAGGTTTTAGGTCTGCCACCAAGGCAAAAAGTTCCTTCCTAAAGCCATGTCCCTGTACAAATACAAAAAAGAAAGATGACAATAATAGAACATATAAAATGTACAACTTTATTTTGAATGAATATGATGCTAGCATAAATATGCATATAAAAAGGCAAGAGATTAAAGCAACAAGGAACGTATAAAAGAAGAAAATATACTGCATAATGAGCATATATTACAAAAATAAATACATTAAATTTCTAATAAATATTAAGCATATATGGTAATATTAATATGGCAACAAAATAATTCTAATAACTTTAACACCCTCCCACAAACTATGATGCCACTTCAGTAAGAGACATTGAGAGTTTATATGTTGCAAGAGAAATCAGAGATTCAAGCCAAGAGTTGTGCAACAACAAATCAAAATTATTGATCTACGCCAAGTGATGCTAGAAAAAGAAATGCTCCAAAACAACTAGGAACATTCGAGAGCTTGATGCTGGGCAAACCATTTTTGGGATCGAAATTGATAAAATCATTACTAGAGATAGGATCCTCATGGGATCTTTAAGGGATCCTCACTATCGACCTATTAAAAAAAACAAAAACAAAAACAAAAAAACAAAAAAAAAAAGAAATTACTTCATGCCTCATGCTGATCCCAAGCTGCACCACAACCCCATATGCTAGTGTATGAAGATGATGAGAGGACCTCACCTTATCTCATTTTCTTCCCTCTCCTGCTCTCATCTCTCTAGTTTACCTCCACTACTACTCAATACCCTAGACGACACATAAATGAGTAAATTACGACATGACCTTCAAAGAGCAGGCATTTACTGGACATGTGGCATGTAAGGCAGAGGGAGTTGCAACAAGTGCTTATACGAGAAGGCATCGATGGAATATAACAGCATCTGAAGCATGTAATCATTGTGTGAGCTCATTAGGGAAGACATCACTGAAACCAATGTTAAAAGCAGCAGCAGTAAGGGTGTTTGCTGGAGGCGCATCAACTAGAATAGGTGCATTAAAGAAGAGGACTTCGTTAACCTGTAAATTTAGAGTAAAACTATCCAGGAACATGATTTAAGGTCCGTGGAATTTAGAGTAGTCATGTTTGCTGTTAATAAGGTTTAGGTTAAATCCTATTTAAAGCCTACTCAAATCCTACTATCAAACAGCCATGCCCTTTCTCTATCTCCTCCCTTGCTATCTCTAAATAGAGAAAACTAAAAAAAAGAAAAAAAAACTGAGAAAAAGGAAAAAAAGACGAGAAAAAAAAAAAAAAAAAAAGAAGAGAACAAAAAAGAGAAAAGCGAGACTTTTGCATGAGCCCCATCATCACTGCCTTGCCTTGATAGCTTCTTTGTCAACACACCACACATGTACAATTGAATATTTATGCATGTCATTCCAGTGTGATGGGAAGAAGTCATATACATGCGTTTATTAGTATGGTGGGAGTCAAAGGCCTAAGCTACTAGTTAAGTACCCAAACACATCTTTCATAAAATTAATATGGTAAAAAAATTATTCTAATAACTCCAACAATAAAGAGAAGCAGATAATGGCTTCAAATAAATCGCACAAGCTTAACAATGAATGCAATGGTCATATCCTAACTAGAAATTTGCACAACGCACATAAAATTTATAGCTTGAATAAACATTAAGAAAGCTTTTTGTTTATTTGACAATTTGAAATTCATTATAGTTTTCTGCTCTTTTAAATTAATAAGTTAGGAAATTAAATATACAACGGAAGAGAGATAATAGTTGAAAATGGTCTTCAACATCAACTCTTTGATGATGGCTAGCCTCATGACAAAGGACGAGTAGATTTTGTTCACTCTAATGTGCTGGACCATAATTACTAGGGCTGAGAAGCTGCTAGGGCTAAAGAGATACGAGGATAGGATGTAGCTGTCTCCCATAAAATAAATGTATATCTCCTCCTTCAAGAAGCTTAACACGAGAACATAATTTTGTTTGTTCTCAGAAGAAAAATAAATTTAACAGAAAAAGGTATCAAGTTAGACATAATTTAAATGCTCATGCTTCTCTCATTAAATCCATGGTGAAGAACAAAAATTAAAAACAAAATATAAATGAAACATCCTTCTTAGTCACAAACAGTCTTCATCCAAAGTGTCAGAATCAACATGTTGACAATAAGATAACATCTCATGCTGAAAAATAATGATCTCCTATCTACCTTTGTATCTTATTGCATCAATAGTAACTAAAAGAAAAGTTACTTCTCATTAACAAACAATCCTCAAAACATAAAAGTATAAAGTTGTTTGCAATATAAGTGGTGCATCATAATTCAAACTGGAAACCCCTCAAAAGAAGGAACTAATCATAGATCTGCTAATATAATTTTTTTTTAAAAAAAAATATAGATGGACCTCTCCTGATACAAGTAACCACCTTTTAAATTATCGTTTTACGCATTAAAAACTTAAACTTCTTTCATCTCCAATAGCCCTTATATTTCTTCCAAGCAAACATTACAGAATACTAATGATAAGGCGAAATGAAGAAAAAAAAGAATAGTAAAAAATAATTCCAACCAAGCTATTCAAAAGGTACATAAGCAAAGATAAGCCATAGATTAATGAATAATCTATAAGAAAAATACCGAATATTGTTTTCATTTTTTTTTTTTTGAAAAATTCCAATATCAATTTTTCCAAATTCATAGGATACTAAGGAATCCCAAGTTATTCGATGGAAACACCTGCATCCTACTTGAGACTACTAGCCAAATCAAAGTAAGTGATAATGGGTGAATTGATTTGCGGTTAGCCACTGCTATCTCTCGATTGAACGCTTGTAAAAAATACAGCAAACCCTTTCAAAAGAAAAGGGTTAACCAAGATAAGGGGGAGAATAATCAAGTTCCCATCTATCTCCCCTAAAATGTAATTAAAAAAAGAAAAAAAAGAGATCCGTGCTTGATGCTTAACCCTCTATTTAAAGGTTGGAATCAAAGATGTTGCTATAGAATGGGTTTCATAAGACTTTGATCACTATGATGGTAGATGGACAAACTAATTTAACTGACAGTATAGCAGCTATGTGGTCATTTTTACTGAAGTAGGTTCCTTTGGCTGAGTTTGTTATGTCCCAAGTTTCATGTTCTTTAAGATCTAATGGGTATCGTTGATTTTCATAAAGGTTAGGGTCTCTACATGTCTTTATTGGTCCGTCAATAGCAAGCATTACAAATTGTTCTTATGTGTCGAATTTTTTTGCTCGAGCTCTACGGATTATTGTAATAGTAAGTTCCAATTTCTCCTATAACAATAAGCTTCAAGAAGTTGTCCTGAAAGATCCTTGATGAAAGCTTGAGGAGAAAGTATAGAGAAAACATTTTAAATAAATCAGCTTTGGTCCATTGGACTCTGTTAAGGTGCGCATATTGACTTGAGTCATCCAATCAAAGCAAACTTATGTACATTACTATATCCAAATATAAGACTTTAACATTAACTGATCATTTGAAATCTTAGAAACAATTCTATCATTGGAAATTGACCAATGGACCCGGGAAACCTTACACTCTATGTCTTTGTTTGGTATGATTAAGTAATTAGGAAAGACAGTCCTCAATTCCAAATTAGAATGCCTGATAACAAAAATAGCAGATGTCTAGCATAATTGGAGAGCCAGAATACTGCTTCTAATGAACACATTTCACATTACATACTCTATGTAATAAATTATTGTCCGAAATATCCAAAGATGACCAGTGGGTCAAAATTTAAGCAACTTCAGCACGATTCCTTCCAGATCGAAGCATAACTCCTTCAAAATGAAAAAAAATCAAGTCTTCTGAATTTAGAATTCGTATAATATGCTAAATTCTAGTATGAAAAAAACCAAACATGGCCAAAAAGGGTTTGTTAGTTCCTTGAAACAGGCATTTGAACAAGTGATCTGGATGAGTTTCTTTAGCTATTTTATCAGGTTCTTTGAGGACTCACTTTGCTCTCCTATTCTCTTGAGGTTCATACAAATATGTATTATTATTTGTGATAAGAAAATGCCTTATACTTATTTCTTTTCTGTAAAATACTTACTTTGTAAGTGTCAACAGGCATAACTGATATCTGATCAAGCCAAATTATTCCTTTATTAGAAGTAGTCAATTGAAGCCTGGACTGAGCATTTGATCCTTTGGCAGTAAATAATAGTTCAACTTTTGTCCAATTAGATATATCCCGTTCAGCTGTCCTGTAATGTAAAGAGAATGTGAAGATAGTAAATGATAGAATTGTGTTGTTACTTCTAAACATTTTAAACTAATAAATGTCCTCACGTTATAATAGAGGAAGCGAGAGTCTGCGACCCGTCAGTGCTTGTCAGTGAAACTGACAATTTCATTTCTGCTGCTGTTCTTACATGAAGGATAATCTTATACTCTTTTCCATCTTCTATATTCTGAATGACAAAAAGATAAAATATCAAGAAGTCAATTTCCAGCGAACTATGAGCAATTAAAATGATTGATGAAAGAAAATAAATAAATAATCAAGTTAAACTAAGTAAAATCTCAAGACAAATGAACAATTCTATTCCAATTGATCCCAAAAAAGAATTTATATATAAAATCACTTTACATTAACCATCATCAAATTTCGCTCACATATTGCTTGAAACAAGATTCACATAGCTTTTATTATTATTTTTTTTTAAGATCCACATAGCTTATTAAAGTAAGTAGAATAATTAGCTTATTCCCACAAAATGAAGGTAACAAATGTGCATACCATTCCCCAATATCCAGGGTTATAAATGCCAACACCACCTTCCGGACAAATAATAGATCCCACATTGTCACACAGGACTTCCATACGAAGGGCCACCTTATTACGCTCAAAACAAGATGTTCGATCAGTTGTCACAAAGACTGTAGAGTCATTCCCAATGATAGACCACGGGTCAATGTTCGAAGGAGTATTAGGGCCCCCAGCTTCAAAGCCTGCAAAAGGATTATAAGGGCCTCAGAACAAAAAAAACGAATGAATAAACGAATGAAAACAGATCTTCAAGAATACATTTCATCGACACATACAAATAGCACGAGCTATTTTATGATACCAATACGTAGATCTGTTAAGCATACATTATCGTTCATTTGTAAAATACTTAGGGACTGTACGGTTACGGCATAGTAGCTTTAGTAAATACTATAAAACAGGATATATTAAATCCTATCAACAACAAAATTTAGTAAATCCAAGATTTAGGACAAAACTAAGAAGGAATTGAGAAGAAACTGGATTTACTAAATCCTGGATTTCAAACTGTCATTTGTTGTGTTTGGCAAGATTTAATTTAAATCCTACTTAAATCCATTATCATACAACCACTTAAGGCTCTTGCAAAATGACAACCTGCAGTGATGAGGATGCACTGTACACATGAGAATTCACAGGACTTTGAAAGTAAGACTACCTTCTACAACATTCTAAAAAGGGAAGGTTTAAAGCTTGCCAACAATATAAATCCGCATCAAATCAAACAAAAAGTTTATGTATATTACTACCATTTTTCATCGTTTAGCTAATTTGAAATATTTGACACACCTCTATTACTCACAAGTTCTGCCCAAAGCCCCCCAGCTCCTGCATGATTGATCTCCTTTATATGTAAGAACAAAGAGTCATCAGAAAGTAGTTCAAATTGGAAAATTTATCAAAAAAGACAACAAAATGAACAGAAAAAAAAATAATCTATGCAAAATATATCAGTTTCTGAAGTGCTTTAGCATGTTTTTTAAGCTAACTTCAACACACTTTCTCAAAAAACATCTGAGCTTCTGGACCAAGTTAAGCCACTAATAAAGAAGCCCAATAAAATTTAACCTCATTGTTCAGAAATTGGTTCATTCTCATGGATCCCAACCAAAACCATCAGAAGATAAAGCTCACGAATGAAAAGAGGCCAAAAACTATACATTATTAACTGAATAAAAGACTAAAAAAAAGAAAGAGTAGCACATATTATGACATGATTCAGCTAAAATCCATTATTTTTTTTTTTGAAACATTAATTAATGATGCAAAACAAACTCCCATTGCCATCCAATTCAATCAAACAGCTATAGCGAACACAATCAATAAATCAAACCAGCAGTAACTCACTGAACACTGAACCACTCACCTCAAAAAAGACACCAAACAAAGTATCTGAAATCCTCATGCCAGAATGCGAGGAAGCATTCACCAACAAGACCGCTGTCTGGTTATCCTCCAATCCATAAGCACAGCTTCCGCAAAAATTGGACATCAGTATTAGAGAACAAAACAGAGCGACAGCACAAACACGCGCAAACCCCATTTTTCCATCACCGCCCATCTCATCAGCAGCTACACACAGTCTTTCAACAAACAACCAAACAAAAAAAAAAGACAAGCAGAAATCAGCGATTGGATACGGTACAAAATAAGCTTCGGATCGAAAAAGATTCAACTTTTTGTTACCAAACCGTATTGAAATCCGCAGCGATGCGAAAAATGATTTTTGAGCCGCGCGGTTTAAGTAGCTTCCGAGAATCGAGCTGCGGGTTGCTCGCAGGTTTGCCCGCGAGATTCTATCTTTCATTCTCAGCTCATTGGTGGCGATGTGATGGGGAAGATGCGACTGCGGTGGAGCCCAGCTTAGCTTGATGATCGTTGGATTTTGATCGGACGGACAATAATGGGATTAGGATGCGACATTCATCTACTCCACGCAGCGTTGCTTGCAAGGCTCAGTGAAGTGAGGATTAGCCTTTGTGGCCCCATCTTTTCTCCCCTTCTTCAGATAACTTTCTATATTGAAATTTTGTTAATTTGAGATTTCTAACTTTACTTGCAAGCTTAAATAAAGTTTAATTAGGATAAAAGACTTAATTTATTTTGAATTTACAAAGCTCTCATTAATTGAATTGAACAAAAAATGATGGAGAAACATAGAATAAGGGAGGAAATAAAAAATCAAACCAAGTAGGGTGAGGAATGAGACAAAGGGAGAATGGCAAGAGTAAAAGAGGAGTAATAATGGTATTAAAAAAGAGATATGCTAAAATGGTCTCTTGATTTTTTGGAGGGGGGCTAGTTTAGATCTAAAGTCTATAAATATATCAATTTAGTTATGAGATATTTTTGATCCTAGTGGAAAAATACTCCCATAGAATCAATATATGACATCATTAAAATAGTATGATTATTTTGATATTTTTATAATCTCTGAAACTAAAATGACTTAACATAAATAGCCAATGGACTATTTTAGCACTTTATAAAACAATGCATTGCTATTCAGTATTTCAAGCTGTTTGTTTTATAGTGATAAACTCCTAATCCGTAACTTTCAAAACTCGGTTATCAAACCTTAATTGTTGGCATGGAGTAGAAGACAAAGCATTCTTTCTTCTCCAATGATCCTCCGTTTCACCTACCAATGAGAAAAACAACATAAATTGGTACCCATCTCTCAACTCACTCACAATCAATGCCTTTAGTCATAGAAGAGAAGAAAAATCACTCACTTGCATGGATTAAAAATAAAAAATCAAATTCATTTTGAATAATAATCTATAGATTAAAATTTTAAAATAACAGTTTTGTTATAAATGAAGCATTAACTTAAAGTTTCCTATAACATATTAGATTTAAGAAGGACCCATTTGCTTGGGATTCTTATGTAGCCCACTAAATGGCTCGACTATGTTATGGATCCCTCATTAGCCCACTTGTGTATCAACATTCTCACATTCTAATTTAATAATCTCTACGGTCCTTAACTCACCTCACACCCTTTATTCATTCTTTTTTGCAACGAATTCCCTTGCAGTTTTGATCTAATAGAAAGGACTATTATCTTGTAAGATTTTTTTTAATGGCATTAGAGTTATAATCGAGTCGAGTCGAGTTGAGTATATCATGGTTCAGACATGGTTCCGCTTGAGCTTGCATCGAGCTTTCATATATTGTTCGAGCTTGACCTGTTTAAAACTTTCATTGTTTGGACTTAGACTTGTATTTGATTTGTTTATAATAAGTGAACGAGCATTTAAATGAGCTACAATTCAAACAAGTATCTAAATTTTCACATAAAAAAATTAATAAATAATTTTATAAATTCGATCACACCTACTAATTTATTGATTATAAACTTCATTAAAATGAAAGATAATTCAAGAACCATGATTATATGTGAATGTAATCTCTCATATTTTAGCATGATCATACTTCCAAGTTTGCATCCAACTCTCACATTCAAATGTAAGTGATAATTTTCTTATATTGATATGCACTTATCCTTTTTCTAGTTTTTTTGAACAATTTTCTGGGCGACTTTTATATTGAGTTGTTGCACTATCATTATTCTTAATCATATACAACTTACAATGATTGCACCGCACTTTCTCACACCACTTTTTAATTGGGTAAGACTTATGAGAAGAGTAGAAACACAACAAGAATTTAGGTTTTTTACGACGGTCACAATTTTTCGGTTATGAAAAGAAAAACAATCATTTCTAATGTTATTGACGGTTTACCAATGGTTTTAAGCTAGTAGATAAAATGTTCGTCAGTAATTTCAAAACCAATCAATATTTTGACGATATAAATTTACTAACGATCATCCGACAATTTAATATCATAGAGATTTTCAAGAAAATTTGAGTCATCGATTCGTATAACCGACTGTTCTTCCGTCGGCAATAACAACAACATAAATGTCAGAAAAGTGTTGCATCGTCAGTTTTTTGAAACAGACAAAATTGTCGGTTATACATCATTTATGCGTCATTTTTAAAAATCGATGAGTTAATTATCAGAAAAGTGTTGCATCCATTAATTTTTTTTATGCAGGTCAAAACTGTCGATTAAGCATCTTTTATGGGTTATTTTTTATAACCGACGGGTTAATTGTCGGAAAAGTGTTGCACACTTCAATCTCGTTTTTTTCCTTCAGTACTTACACACCCTAGCAACTCGTGGCTTCGTATGTTTTGGGAAAAACCTGGATACCTGAAACTATGAGAGGCTAGAGGAAAAGTGAGTTTTATTCGTGAACATAATTAACAAGTTAAACGATGTTCATGCTTTCTTCATTTATGCTCCGAGGTTTTAAAAATTGTTCAAACATGTTTACTTAATAATGTAAATGAACATGATTGAGTCTTAATTGGGTTGAGTTTGAGTTGTTCATCAAGTGCATTAGTTCATTTATATCCCTAATTGACATGTTGGAATTGTTCTTTAGGGCTGGGGTTTTCATATTTTATTTTTTTCTATTACCGCAATCAATTTTTTTATTTTTTTATGATATATTTTGATTTCACCGGAGTTCAGTTGCATATTGGGACAAATTCATAGTATTTGAAGCTGATGCCAATATTGATGTTAGTGTTGAGTTATCAGGGTTGGGGATGTTGAGGAGCTTGCCTTGGCAAAATTTTGTGATTTGGACTCTTCATAGTTGGCCGAGAAATTGAAACCTTAAGAAGTAGATTTCTGAGCAGTGTTTCTGAAAATTTAATGAGTGTTGGAGATTCTTATTGCTACCTTGAAAGGAATGAGTGATCTAAGGGGGCATTATGTGCTTGCAAGTGTCTCTGCTTAGACCTGTGTATATGGGCCCATATAGCATAAATATTATTTAACATGTTTATAGAATTAAATTTAAAAATAATGATAATTATTTATTCCATGACATCAAATCAAAATTCTATTAGATATCAAAGATGAACTTGTAAAGGAGCCAATAAAAAATACTTCTTCTCCCATGTGTCCATACATATCTTGTATGAAGTAGCACAACGCCTATAGTCTCACTTAATTCCCATGAAATATCCACTTAGAAAAAATCATGATTGCATGAGAGAAATATCTTGCAATTATTTCTCCTTTTTTACTTCCAAGATGATCCTTTCAATAGAATCTACAATAAATAAATCAAAAACCCAAGTTCCACCCCAATCGCCTTTCTCTAAAGTTAGAACTAATGAAAACAAATAGCACAATAAAGGACCCAATACAACATATCCCATCACAATGAACTTCCTCAAAATGGTAAGAAAATAATAGAAAAGAAATCTTATATCCAAGTTAATGTTCCAGTATGAGATGTGATCTTCAAACATGCAGAATGCCACTTAGGCCATACATTTCGTGCATGGTAGCAATAAGAATCTCCTACTTCTAAATTTCCAGAAGCACCACCTAAGAATCTACTTCCTTTCAAAGCCTCATTCTCTTAGAAAACTATGAAGAACTCAAATCCCAAATTATTTCAAGGACAAAGTCCTCTGCATCCTTAACCCCAATGCCTCAACACTAGCATCAATACTGGCACCCGCTTCACATACTAGAAATTTCTCTCGATCTGCAATTGAAGTCTGATGAAACCAAAATATATCATAAAAATAAAAGGAAAAATCTTGATTAAATGAAAAAAAAAATACTAAATATGAAAAACCAAGCCTTAGAGAAACATGAATAAGCCGACAAAGGATTTCATAGAATATTTGCCATTGATGTTGGATTGAAGCTAAGATGGAATTCTTTGAGGACAACTATAGGGAGTATGGAAAAGAAAAGCAAAGGATTCTTTTCTTTTTCCTTTTCTTTTTTTAGGTATTTTTTTTTTCTTGAAGCGAAAGAGAAACATAGAATGAATAAAGTGTGGAAGGTGTGAGGTGGATAATAACCATAAAAATTAAATTAGAAGGTGAGAATGTTGGTTTGCAAGTGGGCCAGTGATGAATCCAAAACATGGTCAAGCATCTAGCAGGCTGCCTGAGATTTTAGGGTAGATGGGTCCCTATTTTCCCAACCAATTATAAACAATTTTAAGTAAAGATTTCACCAATAAAAATCAAATTTTATTATGTGTTAAATAGATATTGTGATAGATCAAAAAAATTAATTTTTAAAAATTTTTTATTAAGAATAACACACATAGATTTAAAAAAAAATGCAAGAGACAAAGGTTTCTTATGTACAATATTATAAATAAAAATAACTAGGGAACCAACTTAGTTTTCATCTACGTTAAATGCTAGTTTATAGTTCGCCAAATCTTCAAACTCTCTCCAACATTAGCAAAAGATACCATTAATGTGAAGAATAAGAGCCCATTTATAATTATTTAGAGTGATATTTTTATAATTATAGCTAAGATTTCAAACAATTTAGAGTATGAATCAGATTGACTCTCTTAATCATAGAATATTTTTTTAGCATTTAAGTGCCTATATAACCTCAAAATCAATCGATTTTAAACTCATTAGATGAGAGAGCACCAGGACACTAAATTTAATTGTAAGCACACAAAATTTAGATATTATTTTGTTTTGTATTGGCTTCATGAAGCTATCAAATTCACTTCGAGGCTTAGTTAAGCTGATTTAAACTCAAATTTTAATATTTTAGTGTTGTTGAGTTCATCTCATTGAGTCATTTAGTTTAACAACATACTTGCTTAAATTAGAGTTTAAAAATGATGAATTTAATCTTAAAACTCTAATTTAAATACTACATCAAAATTTTTTCATAATCAATCCATTTTTTAATAATATTTCATTTGATTTTATTTTTAAATGTCAAAATTTGAGTAGAAAAATACACTGACAACTTAAACAAATTTAAAGTATTAAAATTAAATATGAACTGAATAAAATCATCACAATCACAATTTCAGTTTTACTTGAGATCATCACATTAATTGGAGCAAAACACTTTGAAGTTCTGTTACTTATTAAATACTTCAAC